CCTGGAAGTGTTTAAGGCCAGGTTGGATGAGGCTTTGAGCAACCTGGTCTAGTGGAAGGTGTCCCTGCTGATGGCAGGGAGGGTGGAACTGAATGATCTTCAAGGTCCCTTCCAACCCAAACCAGTCTGTGATTCTATGATTAACGGTCTGGAAATAGCACTCATGAGGTGACCAAAACGCAGCTATTCCCCACTGCATGGCGAGGTGTCCCACCAACACACTGCAAGACAGTGGTGGCTGAGTCACTCTGGGCAGAAGAAGAGCAGCTGGGGAGGTGGCCCTCTCCTCCCCACGGGTGAGCCACGCGGACCTACTTCCTACAGGAGGCTTCCTGCTGTGATGCACAGGCAAAACAGGCATCAGGCCACTGCCTTTTGTGACTTACACCAAGCCACAAGGACCAAAGATGTGGACTTTATAATTATTAGTATGCCATCTAATGCCAAATTTTTGTTAGTACACGTTAGAATGTCTTTTTTTAAAAAAAACTTTCAGACACAGAAAACACAAAATAAGATGATCAATTTAGCATGCAACTGAGCAGGGATGACAAGTGCAAGGCCACACTGTTCAAAAAAAGGAAAAGAAAAAATGTTGACAGAAAAATATTTTTAAAATATTGAAAAATACTTACAAAGAACACACTTCTTTGTACTCTATTTTACAAGATGTTTCATTAATAGTCTTGTAGCACCACAAATCTTAGGGGTACAGGTCTGCAATGCTCTGTACTTACAGCCGTGCCTAATTCCTGAGCACTTCTGTAGAAAATATCATCCTGTCATCAGTCTGTAATTCCCCTGAAATTAATGAAGCCTAAGAGAGAGTAGGTATTTTTCCCAACCCACAACAGATGTTCCTTATCTTCAATCTTTAACACCAGACAGCACTTGTACGCTTTTAAACGCCACTCAACAGTCTGACAGCTCTGCAGAGTCCTTAGAGCTACAGAGAAATTGGGTCTAATCCTAACTAGTACAGCACACTCAACTTAAAAGACGCCCAGGATGTGTACAAGCTCCCAGTGTCAGATGTCATGAGATTTAAATTAAACGACTTTGAATGCATGTACAGACAAGTATTGTTAAATATCTGAAGGTTTCAGGGACCAATTCTACACAAGTGAACTGAACAGTTGCTATTTTCTCCTTAGGGAGTCAAAACAGGCTCCAAAATCTATTTTTCAGGATGCTAAACAGCAAGTTCCTGGAAGATTTCATACAAGGCAGTGATAAACTTCAGCTGTTTTTGTTTACAGATGTAAACATCACCAGTAAATAAGATGTCAAAATACATTAAGACTCAACCAGCAAAAACTCCTCCCAATCTCCACTGATGTATTATAGCAATCAAAAATTTTTCACAGACACCTTAAATCAGATTTGAAAATAATTAACTAGAATTTGCAAAGTTTACACTGCCTGAATTCCCTCTAGAAGAC